CTTGGCCGCTGGCGGGTCTTGTCCGGCAGCCGAAGCTGGGCGTGGTGGTAATCAGAAATGAGTCTGGTCTGCGGAGATCTGGGGTTCGTGGAGAAAAGTAACTGGCGCAGAAAATCAATCACTTCGTGTGCCGTTGTTAGTGGGGAGGCAGTGTCTCCGGGGAGAAAGATGAAAGCGCTCGGTCTCCCCGCCGTGACCATCATCGGGGAACCGCATTTTGCGACGAGAGTGGGAAAGTTTCGTGGTGAGTCATTTTCTCATTAAAGAGCCAATCTGGACGTCGAAAGCAGTTTGTTTTCCCTGTGTAAGACTAGCAAAAGGTTCTGCACAAACGGGTTTGTTCCACAGGCAGCAGGACTTTTTCATGACTTAAAACTCCCTCTCTTATTAATTGATGTTTTCCCCCACGGAAAAAAAACCAAAAAAAAACCAAAAAAACAAGAAGCCAAACCAACCAACCAAACAACCCCTCCAAAACTCCGGGAGCTTTTCAATTTGGGGGGGTCGGGGTCGGAGGGTGTTGTTGGTTTTTATGATTTTGAGTTTTTTTCAGCTGTATGGTAAATCATGCAACACAACCACAGCACATCTCAGTGAATCATCTTAAAAACAAGTCCTTGGTACCAAGGTTCACAGTTCCTAACTCCAAGCCCAAAATGAAAAAGAAACCCCCTGATTTAACTGAAGTATATCCATACAAAATTATTAATATCGACCTCATAAAATGGGTTATATTTTTTATACTCTCAGGTTAAATATGGATCTGCCAAAATAGATTTGTTCTTTCCTACATGAATTATCAGACTAAGTTCTATTAGGTCTGTTATGCAAGAGATCAAAGGTAAGATCTCTTTTGTTCTGAAAAAGTTAAGATTTATTTTAGGAAAGAGGTAAAGTGAAGTGTCCACTCATGGTGCAAACTTGCAACATTTTATTTCTGGGAAACAAGGTTACAGGTTTAGAGGAAGCAGTTCTAGTGGTTAGCCTCTTTGAAAACAGCTGTTTGAACTGAAACTGACAGACACGAAGAATCAGCTCTGCCAGTATTGAAAACGTCTAGATTTACCTGAACCATGGTGAATTTTAACTGCATCCACTGTAGTGAAGACGGTCAGTTAAAAATAAAAAAATTCATTCCTAATTCCTAAGATACTAGATGGGGTTTTTATTCTTCACAATTGCATTTATGCATTTTATGTACTGCATGCAAAGTTGTTAATACTCATGTAGGGCATTTTCTTAAGATTTCATCCAGAAACTCTTACCAAATATTTGGTTTTTACTGTACTTATATCAGCATATCTTCCAATATCAGTTACGTGTTCTCCATCTTCACACTTCACAAGACCAGGAATTTACAGTGGCATATTTTCTTTTTAATTGGGATTTTAGCAGATGTGGTTGGCAGTAGTCAGGCTTGCCCCTGGGACTCTCTTCTGTGGATTTTCCCACCAGCCATCTCTTCAACTCATTCATCATGTTCAAAAGTTTCTGAGGTAATTGCAATAAAACAACTTTCACACATCACTTTGCAAAGCAAGTTAGGAAGTATGGGATCTTCATCTTTCTCATAATAGGTATAATTTACCTAATATCTAATATGGAATTTAAGTGAAAGATTAATGAGCTCCTGACTAGTGCTTGTGGCTTTAGAAAAGCAACTTGAGAGAGAGAGCAGAGATTCCATCTGCTTGCTATATTGCAACTAGGACACTTTTTTTTTCCCCCTACTGGATACTCTCCTAGCAGCAGGAAGAAAATGCAGATGAATTTCAAGAGGAGGCAATGGCTATTTTTTTCATATTCTGAGTCTTGTTGTTCTTGTTTATGCCAATATGATTTTTAGATTTAATTGTTCTAAAGCTGCATCTTAACATCAGTCAAAACTTTGACTGGTAAATAACAAGCTGTCTATTTGCTATACAGTTCATTCAGAATACCTTACTCTCTTGCACTGCTGCATCTTTATTGGGAATTTATATTGCTTTTGACAATGGAGGAGAAAAATGACATTATTTTCTCTTAGCTTGATTTGATTTTGATTAAAAGCCTTTTTCTTTTTTTTTTTTTTCTGTCTACAAAACTGACATATTTTGCCCCCTGGATTTCATTTATTTTTCTCACTACCATACAGACTGGCAATTTTTATTTAGCTATTTTCAGAAGTCCTGGTAGATTTTTAGTTAATTTGTCTGTCTTGTTCTAATATATTTTATGTACAATGATGTCTGAGCTAACGTCTTCATTAACTGGAACAAGTTGTTAAATTTGAAATTTATTCTAATATTTAGGATATTATCTGCTAAGCACTAGTAATGGTGGCAGTAAAATGCTACATGTAATAAACATATGTGAGCTTAAGTGAGAACCAGGCAAATTATAAATGCTTTATTTCAAAATACAGGGCTGCTTTAAACTTTTATATGCTGAAGCACGTTAACAACACACAAGAAAGCCACATGATCTGGGGTCATACAGGAATTTATAGAATATCTAAAAAACGAACACATATTTTCAGGAGCTAAATAAATTGAGTAGTACAATTCAGCCCACTATTCTTGTAAGATGTTAGTTATCCTAGGTTTCAAAGAGAACCTTTTCATGTTTTTCTTATTTCAGATGAGTGCTTCAGAGAAAAAGTTTAGAAAACACCACAGAAAACGAGTTGAAATATTAAAAATAATTTGGTTTACTTTAAAATATAAATAAATATTTTATAGATAAAAAACCATATTATTGCTATTATATATTCTCACTGCAGAATAACAATAAGAAATGGCCTTTCACAACATTCACTTGCATTAGCTCCTTTTCCAAGGCTCTTTGGATGACAAATCTTCTAAGACAATATTTAAGGCCACATAGTTTTATCATTTTAATAATTTGCGATATGTTCATTAGAGCTGCAGCAAGTTATGCCTAAATTTAGTTGCTTCATTAAAAAGTACTGAATAGAAAATGGTCAAAACAAACCGTGTCAGGCAGGCCCCATTTCATTCCCCTGGTATCAATGGCTAATTTGTGTTGACATGAAAGGATGCCAGATGCATCCCATAGCCCAAATTTATTTCTTAGGTTCAATAGGAACAAAATTGGTCACAATTTGCTTCATCTGATCTGTGTCTAGCCAATACAGCTTCATTGCCAGACATTCCTAACTTTATTTGAGCCATGAGGAAGACTTTCTAATTTTTCATTTTATGACTTCTGCATGGAGTTATTGACAGACTGAGGAATCTGAGCTCTCTCACAGATTCTTCACTTCAGATTTACTTTCTAAATTTTTTCCTATTTCTTTATGCTTGAAATCAAAAAATATGCATATACACTATACTATCTTTATCTTCTATAAAGCCTTTTAACCATCAGGTAATTTTAAACTGTTTCCACAGAATATTATTTAATTCAAGAACTGTGCATTTTCTTCCAAACCAGTAAAATAGTTTTAAAAGCAGACCTAGAAAGTCCTGACACAATCAGAAGCAACATTTAGCAATTGAAAATCTTTAATTATGCCAATTTAGTTTTAGAGGCTAAGCATGTAATGCATTATGCATGACAGGATAACCAGAAACTTGAAAAAGTTAAAACGAAAAACCATACTTGACTATTTCCTCTCTCTTCTGAGATGAAAAGCAATCCCTAGCCACAAAGAAGGAATTTCAACTCCTGCAAATACTTCTTGACATTTAAGAACTGATGTTTTCTATAATACTTGAAATTTATTATAAAATTTACATAGTTGATATAAAAATTTTATTCTTACAAATGTGTTGGTTTTTCATTCTGTATGTTCTCCCCTACCCTAATGCCAGAAGTTGTATAGTGACTTCCCCTGCTTTATGTACAGTATCAGTGACTGGATCGTTTTATAGAATGTCCCACTTCAATATATCTTTGGACAAAAAAGGATACTAGCTGAGATACTAAGACAGCATCACCTCTCCACCCCCGATGTTTACCTAAAATGTTCAGCAACTGAAAAACGATCTGTAAGGATATAATTGCTGGTCAGAGCTGGATTAACCCTAGAACACCACAAACTTGAAATTATAGTTTGGGTTATAAAATTCAGTCAGAGAAGGAACTAAATTTGACAGTAGTACCTATGCCCAAATAACCTGGAGTTTGCTCTGGAGAAACTGCAGCATATTTGAATATTGATGAAGGGAGGAGACAGCAGTGAAAGACTGTCTTCCTGCAGCAAAAAGCTTCCAAGAGGCAATGACCTTCTGAGATTTGTGTCCACCTTCTCTTCCCTTGGCAGGTCCAAGAGGTACTAACTTGTTTTGAGGCAACCCAACACCAAGAATGGTCTTCAGTGAAGGAGACAGAAAAATGAGAAGGAATATGTGGGCAAAATAAAATGCTTTGGAAAAGAAGCAAGAGACAGAAGACCTACCTTCAGATCAGTGCTTCAAATCCTCCTTCTAGCAGCCTCTGAGGCACCAGAGGCTAAAGCTCGGGAAAAAGAACCTGAGTATCTTTGAATGTGTATTGCTCTCATGAAGTAATTTACAAGCGAGGATGTATTACAACCAATGATTTTTCCGTTTAAATGGATGGTGACCTCCCAGCTAAACATTCTTTTTGCCTAATGGAAGCAGTCTGATTTTTCAAATTTTTAGTGTTGTTTCACTGGAGAAATGCAACTCACAGTACAGTTATTTTATTCATCAGGAAATTAATTAATTTTCATGTGGAATCTCAGCTTTTCTATACATATTTGTGCACTAGAGTTTTAAATTTTAAGATCAAAGAAGTCCCAAACCTTTCTTCTAAAACTGTATTTTTTTCATTGTATGCAAAATAGATCACTATTATTTCTGTGCTAATATCTATTTAGAAAATCATACTCTTTAGTATATCACAGCTGTTTACATGATTTTTTTAGATCAATCTTTCACTATGAGAAGGATGTAAATGATAAGCGTATGCTTACTTATAATTCTTTTCTGAAAAAGGTAAAATTAAGAAAAAAAATGGTGTATATTCATTTCAACATACATTATGACTGAAACTGGAATCTTGGATATAAAGCATAACAAGAATATGAAACAGCAAAATTTAAAGGGTCTAACATTCTGGGCTTTGCAAGAAGTATGAAACATATTGACAATGAGTAATTTGTAACCTTCTCTTGATGATTCAGTAATGTATTATGTTACAATAAGTTAGTATACCTGCAGAATAAGGATGGGCTGGTTTTAAAAGTTAATTTTGACTAAGCATTTTTAAAATGACTGTATTCGGTGGTTTTGAACTGAATAATACATATTTCTTTCAAATTTTCACTCAACTGAGAAATGTTCTGGTTTCAATATTTTACCCTTCTTGTGGCTTTTGGGGTATTCATATCTAGTGTTCTGTTCTAGACTAATCTCCCTTGCACATCGAGTCTACCTCTGCATGCCGCAGCTTTAGCTGTAGCTCATAGCAACAGTTACAGTTAAGGATGCTTAAGAGCTTCTATTCCAAAGCAACTTTTTAGTTTCTTCTAACTTTTTTTTACATTTGTTCTTTGTTTCTTTGTTTCGTTCTTTCTTTCTTTCTTTCCTGACTGAAGGTATTTATAGAATGACCTCATAAAGAAAGAATCTTTTCCATCATGGAATACCCACCTACTACATGACAATACTCCTGAGATATATACAAAGCTTTTCTTATTTTTTTCCCTCTATGTTTGTAAAGAATAATTAAAAGATATCCATAAAGAACCCCTGCCTATTTGCAATTTATATACTCCAAACAGTTTGAAAATGATATACATCAGTTACCTCCTACTTTTACAGGGAAAAAATAAAATTACTTTCAACACAGCTGCCTTTAAAATTGATATCCGAAAATACACTTATTTTCAGATAGTTGGAAAAGCCATGCTTAAACACTGTCCCAACACTAAGGCCAGGGATATTCAAAGTGCCTATTGTTGGCCTAGTTTTTGGAAGGAGATGGAAATAGAATCAGTCTTTTTAAAATACACAGCCTAAAAAGCAGATTTTTTTTGATGTTAAAGCATATCTTTAAAGAGAATAAAAGAGCCTACAGATTGCTTACCCCTATTTTTGTCATGGTACATTTACAGTCCAATGCAAAGTAAACAAGATGGTTACACTAGATAACAAAAACAGTCTCTGAATGCAGAAGTGACTATCCATGCTCCTCTTTCCTTAAAAAAAGCTCTTTCTCGTATAAAGGTTTTAGCACCACTTTAATTCTTGCAGTTAATTTTTCCTTCCAGTTCATAGGCCAATCCCAAGAGGGAAAAAATGTCCTCAGCTGTACCCCTTATACAAGGCAGGCAGATTTAGCAAGTCTTGATCTGAGAAAGTACTAATGCAAATGCTTAAGATTAAACGTGTGGTTATGTGCATTTCTGAATTAAAATCTGTGTCAGAACGTTTATTTAGCTACAATTCTGATATTAAGAAAATCTTTCCATGTTGGCTGACCTAATACACATAGCAGCATTATTTTGAATGTTCCTTTTGTTTTATATATTTTGAGTAAGCTACATAGGATATGTATATATTTGCATGAGAGACATAAACTAGCTCATAAACATTACCTGCTTTATTTTCAAGATTATTTTTGCTATAATTACTGTGATAAGATATGACTGTGACTGAGACCAGGTGATACCTTCTAGATACAGAGATACAAAAGCTCTGAACTACTCGTACTTGTGAATAGATATGCAAGGACAAGCTCTTATAAGATATATTTGAAACTAATAAATGCTAGTATAAACCGTGTTCTTGGCACATATGCCAGCCCATGCTATTGTAGTGTGTCACTACAACATAAAGGTGGTCAACACTTAAGTACCTCCAGCCATATCTGGCTCACGAGTGGATAAATGCACAAGTTGAACACAAATAAGCAAGATCAAGGAGTTAATGTTCTTTAAATCTCAGGTCTCCAGGATGACTAGTTGCACGTGGCAAACTGTGAGTGTTCTCCACTGGTATCTTCAGCTTAATCCTAAGAACAGGAAAATGTAAAACCCACTAAGACATTGTGTAGCGTAAAGAAGTGAGTTAGCTTTAAATGAAGTATTTTTGGTACTGGCAACACTCAAGTTGTGATAGCACGGAGCTTACTCTGTAAGAACTTTATTCTGCTACGTGGGCAAGTTCAGCAGCCTGTCCTGCACTTCATGCTATTGTGAAGTAGCTGCTACACAATATTTTATGTAATACTTCTTGTGCAGAAGGTATCCAACAAAGCAGAGGCACATGGCAAAAAGCACTTCACTGGGCTAGAGCTGCACTACACCATATAATGTAATAAAATATACTTCAAAAATGTAATAATGTATGTTATATGCTATAATACAATACACTACAAAGTTTATTATATTATATTATATACACTACTTAGTTTATTGTAACAACTTTTACCTATTCATTATATCATTTCCCCTTACTCAGAACTTTCCTGCATGAAATGTGGCCATTCTTGAGATGCTTTGAGATTGATCTTGAGATTCTTTGTCAAGAAAAAAACCATTTACATGACATGAAAGAAATGAAGCATTTCTGAAGGAAGGCTACCTCACTATTTATAATGAGACATGTCTGCCAATGAAAGGTAAATCTCCAAATACCTACAATTATTGCAAGACTCAGGTGAAATTAACAGCTTCAAGACTACTGCTGCTAATAGGGCAGAGTAAAAATCCATCGTGTCTTCTTTACTTTTAATGCCAGTCACAACGACAAGATCGTGTGTCCCCCAGGCCCATGGTGGGTTGCCACTGCATTGCAGGGAGAAGGCTGATGTGTCAGAACACATTAACTTCCTTGGCAGGTGGGTAAGAGACGACTGTACAAAGAGGTATTAGGCCCAATGATTAAGGAATATGAAAACATAACAGTAATTTCAATTAACAGATAAAATATTGAAACACTTGGAAAATATTCAAAAAAGAACAGCAGGGACACATTTTTCAAAAGAGTAAGAATAAGAAATAAAAGAAAGGGTAAAACCCCCATATTCACAAATTAGGGATTTTAACCCAAGATTAGTTTTACATAGGGAAACAGAAAAGTACAAAAGTAACTGTCTTGTTAACTACAACAAATTGAAATTAATGTAATATTTATTATCCTATTATCTTTCAAAATCTTTGCTGATTTGTAAATGCTGCCATTTTAGTCACATGAAATAAGAGATTTACCTTACATGGGACAAAGAATCATATTCCAATCTATTATGCATGGTATTTCAGGATTTGTATTAAAATCACTTATTTAAAAGAACAACAGAATAGAGATAATGAGGGAGATAAGTACTAATAGACACAGAAACACAAAATAAAACCAAATAAATTTACAAGAGATCTTTACAAGCTCTATATAATACCTTGGAGCCCTACTTGTTACTGTATTACATCATGTTCTGTGTAATATGTTTTTTGTAACTCTGCCCAGCACACTGGACACATTACTGTGATGAGACCAGAGAGGGAATACTGAGGGGATGGGAGGCAACATGATGCTTCTTGTAGACCTTTTGGGTTTTAGAGGAATTTGCAGAAGTTATACAGTTCCTTCTACCCTGTGCAGCAACAGTAGTCTCACCAGACTGAAAATGCTTGGAATCCACAGAAATAGGGATTTTTTGAAGGCTGATAAGTTATAGGTTTTGGAAAAGATTTTAAAACTTCTTTTTTCAGCTCTTGAAGAAATCTATAAGCTGTTGAGTTTTTTTTTTTTATTTGCAAATAAAAGAGTACAGTGCTTACCATTGTTGGAGAATAAATATTGTCCTGGATAATTTATGATAAAGTATGATAATTTCTATACTTCTAAAGGCTTGCTAGAATGTGTAAGTATTATGCTTGTATGCTTTTGTATGTGTCAAACAAGCTTTGTCTTTAGGAGAAAAAGTATTATGTTAGAAAACTTTGGTAGTATAATATCAACATTGATTAGGTAGTTATATATTACAGATATTTTTTAGACTGCCATACTCAGTGTTTCTTTTTGATTGGGAAGATACTAAAAGAGTCCACTATCAAGAGATATAGGAAAATAATGTCAAGCACTGTCAAACCTCTTCAAAATTACAGGAAAAACCTCCAAACAAATAATTCTAAGGAGTCAAAAGGATGATGAAAACTGCCACGACCCGCGGGGAAAGGAAAGGGATCGGGCACTGCAAATCAGAGTCTCGACACAGTACAGGTCTTGTAGAGCAATGCCAAACTTTACTGGGGAAACAGTAACTTATATAGGGTAAACTTAAGGGTGGAGTTTGGGCTAGGGAGGAGCATAGGACTGACAACTCAGGGATGAAGGTGATTGGGCAGTTGGGTAAGGAGGGGAGGAGATTGGGCGTGACTAGGGGAATGGGCCAATGACAGCTACCTCTGCACTGCACCAAACACTGACCAATGGCAGGCAGAGGAGCGGGAAAACAGGGAAAAGGTGGGAAAACTGTGAGGGGAAGAAGGAGACAATATGGAGGGTGATTTTAAAAACAACAACTGGAAGTATACATAACAATACAGCAATATAGTAATGAACTGGGGAGAACTGGGGCAAAACTGTCAAGTCCATGGGGCGTCACATCCGGTATAAAAGAGTCCAGTTCGGTATGCAAGTGTCCATTTATGGGTTATAGATCTTTCTCCATGCTTCATATCTCTGCCATTCTGTTTCATCTCTTCCAACAGAAAACATTATTCCAATGACAATTGTGGAAACATTATTCAAATGACAATTGTGTCAAGTTGTTCCTTGTGAGCTCTGGAAGTCATAGGAGGTTTAATTTCCTTTTTCTTTTCATTCAACAACAACAACAACAGCAGCACCATGACCATCACGAAAAACTAAACAAAAAAAAATAACAAACAAATAATAAAAAAAAATGTGTTGCTTCCGTGGTCTTATGAACTATGCAATTGAAGCAGGCGTTCTTTAAAGAAGCAACCACTTTTAGTTTTTCCAAATATAGAGAATCAAACACCAAACAAACAAATCAAGCCACTCCTTTGTGCACATCCCCCTGGCCAGCCACTTTACATGTGACACATTTGGAATAGCTTCTATCAAACATTTGAATCAAACCTTTCATGCCCAAATATACCTGTGCAGAAAGAAGCCAAAGGCAAGGCTTCAGTTTCAATCTTAAACAATTTTGTTTCAGTGCAAGATGTGAAGTCAACATTAATAAACCTTGTTTTTTCCTTGGACATTACACTCTTGCTCTACTAAATCTCTTCTCATTCTATTAGGTCCTTCTGCAGCATTTTACAGCTATAGATCATACCTTTGTCTTGCCTGCAAAACTCTATCTCTGTCAGTTCATGCCTAATGTAAAAACTTACCCTGCACAAGGATCAATTTTGTTTCCCTTCAGCTCCCTACGTAATTTATGTAAACCACCAGAAGAGCACCTTCATTCTGGTGGCAAGTATGTGATGCTTAGCTCTATCTGTGCTACATCTCATTATAACCTCCAGCATGGTTAAGAAGAAATGGGCTGGCCAAAACCAGTCAAAGCTCAATCCTATCTGGAGATAGCAAGAAAATGATTACTTATGGGCAGTCCTGCCACATCATTCTGAAAATATACTTTGGTATGTGTGCAGTGTATGGCTGCTCCTAGGTGCTTGCTGATGCTAAACTCAGACCAGGAAGTATCAGTTAAAAAAAAAGTCAATAATGTACTAATGTCTAGGAAACGTCATCCAGTTCTGCCAGAAGAATGAATTCCTGTGATTGCACTACAGCCCTGAAACAGAGATGAAAGTGAAGCCGCTGTTGATTAGGGAACTCCAACTAACTCAGACAGCTGTGATATTTTCACAGTGGCACAGTTACCCCAAGCGTAAGAGACCTTCCACTGGTTTGCTATGGAATTTTTAATCTAATTCCATGAGTCTTACATTTCTAGGTGGTCCCAGATACCTGGAAGACTGCTTAAAGCTGCAGAATGATGCATGTGTTCTTCTGCACAGTAGGACTTTCTATGATAAGGGTAAATATGCAGAAGATGAAGACTTCTTATGGTCTGGTCTTGTACTTGTAGTACATAAAAATATTTGTTTCCAGTGAAAACTACCCTTTCTGAATTTTACATTTTCTGTGCTTCTCCTCCTCCTTCCCCTCCCCCAGTTCTGTACAGTCAAAATGTTTTGGTTTGGTCTCATATTTTCACCAGATACCTCATTCTACAGGATCTGAAAAACACATTTTTCTAAATACATAGTAAGTACCATGAAATGTTGTATTTAAGGAAGAGCAGTTTTCTTTGTACATGCTGTAGAAATATAATTTTTGTTTAGTATACTCTGTTTGCGGAGTCAGATCTTGATGTCACTGAGAAATATCTACATATAGCAGTGGTTCCTTGATCAGATGGAATGAAAGGGAAACTATCTGTGATATTATCAACCTATATAGGCACTACCAAAGCAAAACATTCAGTTAAGTGAAATATATAGTAAACCTGTATTGGTACTTGGCAGAAAAAAACTGTGAATTACCACTATGAGAGAAAACTACCCTAGTGAGATTTGAGGGTCTATGCAGTTGTCATCCCAGATTTCCTTCAGAGGGGACTTTAAATTAAGGTCCCAGGCAAACAAATATTTATCAGTGAAACTGAGAAATAGTAATTAAAATTTAGTGGCTTAGGAAGAAAAGGTGTAACTAAGCTAATAAGTGAAAGAAAATAAAACACCTAGAAGAAAGATTACTATGTAAAATCTAGAAATAAGACCTCTATTTACCTTTCTACTTGCAGCTTGTGAAATTCTTACTCATGTAATTTTTCTATGATTCTTCTGCACCACCCATTTATTATACTGGCTTGTAAGGAAAATTAGAGAACAGAAAAAGTGAGGGGTTGGTGTTCTTGGTAAGGCTTCTTTTACATGTCAAACCTGAATTTAAGCAAGGTCATGTACTTGTTATATTGAACTGCGTACCCTACATTAAAAAAAAATAAAATATTGAAAACAAAATCTGTTTTATCATACAGAGTAATTTTGGATTCACTACTTTTAGTGTTAAAATAAAAATAAAATTAAAAAATAAATAAAAATATAAAATCACATACTAAAGATCAACTTTTGAATATAATATAGAGCCTAAAGCCACATGGTATTGCTTTAAACATTAACAAAAGCTATTATTTAAAACACGAACACTAAGGAAAAAAATTTACAGGGTCAGCCACACTTGACTACTTGACAGTTAGCAAAAATAAAGTGCAAGAAATCAAAATTTTTCTTTTCAAAAACTGGGAAGAAAATAATGGAAGCGGCATTCAGTAGATGTAATGAAAAAAATCTACTGGAAAACATATTTATGCAGTATAAAGAAAGA